TATTATCTGCAGGTGTGTGCGTCCTTGTGCAGATGCCCTCTCTTCTTCTCAGCTGGCCTGTTTTGAAAAGTGAGAAAACTGAAACCAAACCTGTTGTCTTTGAGTTAGCTGTGACTCAAGGTGACCCTCCCTGTGTGGTGCCGAGTGGAACTGCTACTTGGTTGTCATCTTAATGGGGGAGGGCGGTGGTTATCTGTAGGATAAACTTGGGACTGTGAACCATAAGGTTGGCAGTTTGAGCCCAGCAGGTGCTCCAAGGGAGAAAGAGGAGACTTTCTGGTCTTGCAAAGATTCACAGCCTCAGAAACCCTGTGTACAGGGTCAATAGGAATGGGAACCAAGCAGACGACACGTCACAAAACAACAAGGACATCTGCACTGTAGCTGATCACCAGCCCACCCTTCCCCAGTGTTGCTGGGTCACAGTGAATTGCGAGTCATTGGTGGTCCCCAGTAACACAGATCCCTGGTTTTCCAGGTGCTCCCTCAGGTTGGGGTTGGCCTCCCTCATGATGAGACCTGATACATTTTAGGGTGTTGGTGTCAGTTCTGCCAAGCTGGGTAAGGTGGTATCTACCCGCTTTCTCCAGTGGGAGGTAGCTGACTTTATACCTTTGCGATTAGTAAGTAGCCTCTAAGAAAGACTTTCAGACTGCGAAATGCCTTGATTTATTTCAGGCTGTGAAGTTGTTTATCACGTTCCCCAGGGTATTTGTGAGTCTGGACGTTCTGTTCTTACTAGGGTGGTACATGAGTCGGGGGGTTCTGTTCAGGCTGGGGAGTTTGTGAGTGTGGGTGCTGTTCATACTGGGGGCTGTGGCGGTGTTGTTCATGTGTTCTTGGGGGAGACCTTGCTAGCAGTTCCTGAATGACTGTTCTGTTTCTGACTCTGGAGACTATGTTGTTGCTGCTAAATCAAGTCTGATCGCGGCCCCCACATGTCCACAGAGGAGAATTGCTCCATGGGGTTTTTAAGGCTGTGCCCTTTTGGAAACCGGTTGCCAGCCCTGTCCTCCCAGGAGCCCATGGGAGGGTTGAACTGACAGCCCTTCTGCTCGTGGTGAAGCCCTAGGCCATGTGCCTCACTGGGGACCTCTGTTGTTCCAGAGACAATGCACACTGACCTGTAACTAAGCCTGTGGGGAGCACTGACGGTGGGCCTGCACCACAACCCTAGGTAACAAGGGTTAGGGCCCCTATAAACAGGGACACTGAGGCTCCCAGTCCCACAACTGGGCAACGGAGGAGCTGAAGCCCCTTGAAGTACACATTGCCTTGCTCTGGACGGTACCCGGTACTAACATCAGATGACCCTGACTGCAGGTGGTCCCCCCACTGCGCCCTCTCTGTCAGCGTGACCGTTGTGCCTGTCGTCTCTCAGGACAGTCTGTGTGTTGTTTGTGGGCACTCAGTCTTGCCCCGAGACTCCCTAACCCTTTTATTTTCTTCCTGTAGGAATTTGCTTGCTAGGAAACAAAACGCAAGACTTGACAGACAGAGTGACTTGGGATGGAAGTTGTTTGGAAAAGTGCCACTCGGAGAGAATGCTCTGAAAGAGTCAAAGAAACTATCAAAGGTACCCGAGCTGTGGGCCCCAAGAGGTGTGCTGCGTGAGCGGCGTCAGGGGCCCACCTTCCTCAGCCCAGCTCCTCTCATATAACCGGTCCTTCTGTTGGAATAGGCAGGGGTCTTCCTCTCTGACCTCGTACATGCCCTGGGAGTGTGCTCCTGGAGCAGCCCAGTCATCTGGGGGCGGGGGGTGGGGCTCATGCCCAGCTCCTGGGGTGGCACAGCCAGGTCAGGTGTGGTACAGCTCAGCTGCCCTTCCTGTTTTCACCTGTCTGGGGGTCCGTGCTGAGGTGCTGCTTCAAAACCTGTCCCTCTCCAGTCCCAGCTGGGGCTTTGGGACAGTTTGTCCAGTAAAGACTGAGGCGCCTCTAACAGCTGGGCTGCTGCTGGGATCCTGGGAGTGGTGCTCAGGAGCGCCCCCTCCTGGGGAAACAGCTGAGCAGATGTGTGAGGAATGGGTTCAGTGCGGGGCTGTTTCCAGGGGCTGGCATGGAGGTTCAAACCCACTCAGAGGAGCCTCAGGAGAAGCACCTCGTTATCGACTTCCGTAGGGTCACAGCCTTGAAAACCCCATGGGGTACTTCCATTCTGCACATGTGGGGGCACCGTGCATCTGAACAGGCTCACTGACTGGGTTTCCAGCTCACTGTGAACTCACTGCCCACCACTCTCTGTGCTCTGGCTGCTCCAGAGGCCCTGGAAGCACCGAGCTGGAGTCCCAGCCCCAGAGAATAGCCTGCGGCTGAGCTGGGAGGGTAAACCGGGAGGGAGAGGTCCAGGCAGGCTGTGTGTGCCTTCACCGGAGTTCACCCTGCCCAGAAAGCAACTCTTGGTCTAGCCCTGGGCACAGTGTCCTGTGCTGCGGAGGACTGCCACCCCTGCCTACCAGCTGCAAATCACTTAGGTATTGTTAGGTGCCATCAAGTCGGTACCGACCCATAGCGACTTATGCACAGCCGAACAAAACACTGCCCGATCCTGGGCCTGCCTCACAATCGTTGCTATGCCTGAGCCCACTAATGCTGCTCTCTTGCCAATTCACCTCGCTGGGGGTCTTCCTCTTTTTCTCTGACCATCTATCTTACCAAATATGATATCCTTCTCCAGCACCTATTCCCTCCTGACAATATAGCCAAAGTAGGAGAGACGAAGCTTAGCCATCCTGGCCTCCAAGGAGCACTCTGGCTGCACTTCTTCCCAAACAGATCTATTGGTTCTTTTGGCAGTCCATGGCACCCTCAGTATTCTCCTCCAACACCACAACTCAAAGGCAGCAACTCTTCTACAGTCTTCCTTATTCACTGTCCAGCTTTTGCATGCATATGACGTTATTGGAAATACCATGGCTTGGGTCAGGGACATATAAGTGTGGGCTCATTAAAATCGCACCACATTAACTTTCGGTGATTGTGACCATGCTCAGCTACAAATGTTGAAGGAGTTAAGTTTCCAAGCTGCTACAGATTTTGAAAGAAATGCCCACATTCAGAAAAGGAACAAGAGATGTCTAATAGACTTCCCTGGGTTCCCGATACTACTTGCATCCTGTTTAAATTCTCAGTTATCTTTTTCGTACTCCATTGTGGTTTTTAAGAGGAACACAGATTATGTTCTTGAACTTGGAGGATCTTGTTGTGAACTGAGATGACCAGGCAGTTGCCCATGTGTAATCCGATCTCACGGCCGATGGGGCCACCTGGCTTCCATCATCAATAATGAAGGCATGCCATTGTACCTGGGAGTCACACGATCCTGCCCTGACCTGACCTGCTTGCTTCGCCTGTGTGTCTGGCTGCTCATCTGTGTTGCTTTCATTACTTCCCCACCCCAGGTTAGGGGGTGGAGGGAGTCGGGGGGCCCACGGGTACCGGTGTGAAACTCCAGCCCCTTCCCCATGTCTGTGGAACGTTGAGAACATGCCTGTGTTGTCAGACACTGGTCTGTGTTCTGCTGCAGCCACAGTTGGCCTGTGTGACTTTGGGCAAGTGACTTGACTTGGCTGATCCTCCTTTACCTCCTCGGAACAAGTCCTTCCCTCAGAGGTGAAGGAGGAAGGGCACGGAGGACGTCTCTCTCAGCCATGAGGAAAGCCTGGGCTCACACACGCTGGTGCTCCACAGCTGCTTCACTGCCTACTGTGTGGTCTCGGGCCATCTGTGAAATGGGCCTTATGAGCAGCCATCCAGATTCTGACTCATAGACCCTAGATAGACTTTCCAAGGAGCGACTGGTGGGTTTGAACCACCGATCTTGTGGTTAGCGGTTTGGTGCTTCTCTTACAGTGTCACACCGGGGCCCACGGACTGAAAGATGAGGCTGTGAGCACTCACCTCAGAAAACCTAGGGACCAGGTGTGCTGTGCCCTGCAGGTTGGCATTGGCTTGGACTAGGGTGTGCACAGTGTTTGGGCACTAGACTATGCCCATAGTGGGCAGCCAAGGTACTTCCCACTGATGAGGCCCCGCTGTCCTTATCGTAAATACCTACCGCTTCTGTCAAACTCTCTTTCCCCAGACCTGCGCCCCTGGCAAACAACTACCTTGGTGTTGTCTTTGCTCCGCTCTCAGCTGCCCAGTTGCCCAGGGCTGCTGTCTGGTGGTCAGCCCTACGGGTGGGTGTGGTGTGAGTCTGGTCTGAGGCAGAGAGCCACCGGGAGGGTCTCAGGTGGGGGATGGGAGGCTGAGCTATGTGAGAGCTGGGGCTGGGCCCTCCAGTGGAAACGTCTTCGTCAATTAACAACCCTTCTGATTATGTTCATCTGATTTTAGCAAATTAAAAATGAACCCAAATAACCACTATTTGCACTTTGATATTTTTTATTCAGTTACTTTTCTATGTATGACTTTTCTTTATCTTTAAAGGTAAAGTCATTAATAACTAGTGCAGCATGTGTGTGTTTGGGGGGACATGCCTAGAACAGTGTGTGACTGGTTAGACCGAGAGTGTGGACCTAGAAGGCAAGACTGGCCGTGTGGCCATGCATGGGAGTACAGAATCTTTAAGTCTTGGGGTGGGCAGGCCTGGCTTGCAGATTCCCATTGTCTGGGACCAAACCCTCTCATAGGACACATCTGTTGGGTTTGGGGCTATGTTAACTTGGGTTGTCTCGGATGACTTTCTGGAATTTCACATCAGCTCTTAGAGCTTAAAGAGGAGAATCCCAGATGGCGGAAAATTCAGGACAGCTTAAAGCGATATTCATTCTCCCTGCCTCTGGGCTCTGAGAAGTCTGGAGTACTCAGAACCACAGAGCGCAGAAAAGATTGCTCCAGGGCCCAGGTAGAAGCTGAAATAACAACAGGAAAGCCACCTTCACCTTTCTTATCCCTTCTCTGGAAACTGGGTTTAAACTAGTTTATAGAAATAGAACAGGCTGCCTTCGGCAGTCCATCTTTATGAGGTCAGATGGGCAACTGGAAAGGTTAGATGGGAGCGGGGGCTTAGTGGCAGTGAGCTTATGGTGGGGGGGGGGGCGTGCAGGGGACAGCTCGGGGAAGGAGGGGCCAGGATAGCTGGACTATTTGAAGAAAAGAATCAGTGATATTGAATTATTCATGTAGACATGTAAATTGGTGTATGTTTTTGCTGTGTTTGTTGGCTCGCCACCAACAAAATAAATTATTTAAAAATAATAAAATAAATAGAGCAGGTCCCAGTTCTGTGTGAAATGGAGTAAGTACACTCCAACCTGTTTCGTCAATGAATGCAGCGGTATCAGGGGCTTCAGAATGTTCCTGGGAGAGGAGGTTCCATGACCTTTCCAGTCCGTTTTTTACGTGGTTTTGAGGGTTCTGAATGGCCCAGAGCAGCTCTGTGAGTACTCTGAAGGCAGGACTTGCGGGAGAACTGGAAGGCCTGCTCTGTGGGTGCTGACGGACAGCTCCCTCCCCAGTTCTGATGTGAAGAGTGAGGGAGTCACTGCGGCAGCACCCCACCCCAAACACAGTCTCCCAGGGAGGGTCTGGCAGGGCCCTGAGCTCCTAGGAGCATTGTCACCCTGAGCGTCTCCTCTTCTGCCCAACACTTATCCCCGATCTGACGCAGTGCAGCGAAGTATGTGGCTGCAGAAGCAGAGAAGGGGCGACCCAGGGAACCTGAAAGTGCTGGGGAGGGTGTAGGAGGAGGAACTTGGGAAAGTACACCCTGCGGGTCGATGGAGGAGCCCTAGTGGTACATTGGTTAAGTGCTTGGCTGCTAACGGAAAGGTCAGTGGTTCAGCTCCACCATCTGCTCTGCAGGAGAAAGATGTGGAAGTCTGCTTTTGTAAAGCTTTTTAGCCTTGGGAATCATATGTTATTGTAGTGAAGTGTCGTCTAGTGGGCTCCAACGCACAACATCACTGATAGGGTTTCCAAGGAGCAGCTGGTGAGCATGAAACACTGACCTGATGGTTAGCAGTGTGGTGTTTGGGAACCTTTTACGCAGTTGTTTTCTGTGCTGTGAGTCAGAGCTGTGTGGTTTTGGTGGGTGTGTGGATCTTAACCTAAATAGCATACTTGGGTAGACCACTATATAAATGCTGGTTTTACCTGTGGGACAGATCCAGAAAATACTGCCTGGACTTTGAAAACTGACCTCGGGACCACAACTTACAGAAAACTGGTTGGAACTTGTGGTTGGAATCCAACCAGATCAATTGCCTACTTATTACAAAGACAAGAAGTTTAGATGAGACCAAGAGACATAACCCAATATGAAACATAGCTAGAATGGAAGCCAGAATTACCTGACATAGGAGGGTCCAGGAAAATCTCAGTTCGCATTTTGAGAAAAGATAATCAACAGACATCGATGTTATTATGACCCGACCCAGCTGTTGAAATCATCCAACTAAGACTTGACAGCAGCCATTGTAAGAGTTTCAAGAGTGCTCCAAAAAGTCAGGGCGAACATTCTTGAAACACAAAGATAGACTGTATTTGCAGAGAGGTAAAAATGAGAAGAATTAAACAGATGTTTCATAATTGAAAAATACAGTAACTGGAACAAAACAAAACTATATGGATT